GTCACTAACATAAAGAGTTAGCTTATACATTCTAGGTTCCAAATTCAGCAATCCTTTCATGAGACTCTTTCGATTTAGTTTCACCATCCCTTGGTTCTTGTAACCATGTAGAGATCAACCAGTTTTATTTTCTTTTACCATGCCATGGAAAAGTAATCACATGTTTGCTGTGTAATAACTTTGTGTCAAAGCAAATATCAGGAGATCCATTTATACACCTTCAATCTGTGAAAAAATGAAGCTGGGTGGGTAGAGCTAAGGAAATCCCCAAGTATAGAACATCACCCAACAAACAATCTTCTTTCTTCTAACCATGAAAGCCACAAAATAAATGGTCACATAAGCTATCTTCAGGGGAATGCTTGTCACGGTACTGACGATGCCATTGCATCTCCATTCTTTCTCTTCGGTAACGGTCAGAGTCCTGTTTCCGCCCAGCCTTTTGTAAGCCATATATCAGAACTTCATATGTACCCGCAGAAGCAGATATCTCATTAGTTATCATCTGTGTGAATAGTTCAAGAGCCTTATCAACTTCGCCAGCTTGAAAATAGGCATTCATAAGGGCAGTGTAGGTAATCACATTCTGCTCTGCAGGTGATAACCCAAAGATATGTGCCGCGTATGAAGAATGCCCAGCAGAACCCAGTCTGAGTATTAAGACAGATAACAGATATGCTCCAAGATTGCAGCCATGTTTAACCAATCTTTCAACAATCTTAGACACCAAATCAAACGAATTATTTCTGATGTACTGACCAAGAAGGCAACTATATGCAGATCTGTCAAGTTCACTGCCTACTCTTAGGCTATAGTACAGAACTGTGAGTCCACATGATGGTCTGCAGTTTGCGCAGCTGGCCTGAATAATATCAGATATTATATGCGATTCCAACTTCACATTCCTCGTGGTCAATTCATTTACCATCTGTTCGATAGCAGACCAGTTTCTAGAAGCCAAAAGGTATATAATCGTACTTCTGTAAGTAATGTAGCTTCGATGAGAAAATGTTGGGTCATATTCCATTCCTTCGGATGCAAGATGAGGATTCACTTCCCAAAGAAGATTAGGGCTCTCACCACTAGCTTTTAGAGCTTCTAGTGCTTCCAAAAAGACAGGCCTACGGAGAACAATGCCTTTCTCCTTCATGTGCTGAAGAATGAAGGTCATCACTGACGTCTCACCAGCGCTGGCACACTTCTTGACTAGAATATTGCAGAGTGGCTTGTCTGGTTCTACGCCTGCATCTTGCATGTCACTCATAATTTGTAGAGTAGCTTGGAATTTTCCTGATGACAACCAGAATCATGTCAGTATACGATATGATGGTCCAAGGATTACGTCTTGCGGTTGCAGTGCAAATGAACATGAAAAATCATATTAACAAAGTTGAAGAAACCGGACAAAAATGTCGAGGCGAACAACTATCACTTATGCAGTGTACATGAACATGAAAAATCATATCAATGGACGAGCCGTCCGTTCACGCATTCCATCGAACAGCTAGCCACGTCGTGAGTGCACAGGTAAGCAAGAAAACGCCTAATGGGCATTTCGTCGAGCACCTGACCTGCGTCAGCGAGATGCTCGATGAGCACGGTGTAGGTGGTGCAGCTGGGCCGCAGCCCCTCGGCCACCATCTCCTCGAACACCCTCCTGCCCTCGGCGGCCCTCCCGGCGTGGAAGAGGATCTTGACGCAGGCCGTGTAGCTGACGAGCGTGGGGCGGCACTTCCCCCTGCGGGAGCGCATCTCCTCCCACACCCGCATCGCGGCGTCCACGTCCCCGGCGCGCGCCAGCCAGTGCATGACGGTGGTGAACGTGGCGGCGTCGGGGTCGACCCCGGCGCGGAGCATCTCGGCGAGCAGGCGGAGCATGGCGGGGACCCGGCCGGCCTCGCCGAGGAGGTGGAGCATGGAGGTGTAGGTGTAGCGGTCGTGGCGGAAGGCGGCCCCGGGTGTGGGGGAGGAGGCGGCGAGGCGGAAGAAGAGGAAGGCCTTCTGGAGGGGCGGGTGGGTCTTGAGGACGCGCGCCACGACGTGCGAGTCCCAGACGAGGCCCGGGAGGGAGAGGAGGAGCGGGCGCGCCGCCGACCAGGGGTGGTCGCGGAGTATGTTGGTCACGCGGCGGACGACGTCGCGGGTGTACGTCGGGGCGGAGGGCTCGGCGGCGGGTTTGGGGCGGGGCGGAGGGCGGCGGCGGGGCTTGGCCGGGAGGAAGTGGCGCTGGCGGCGGAGCATTTTCGGCGGCGGCGAGGCTGCTGAGAATGCGACGGGGAACTGTTTTTCTTTTTCTGGGGTACGGGGAACAGCTATGCCCCGTTGTAACGGGGAACTACTTTGGAGACAAATCCTTTTTTTAGTATAATATAATTTTTAACTATTTTTTCGAAAACTGTCGATTTATTCATCTCTAATCGGCAATAAAATAAACACCAAAAATTACATCCAGGTTTATAAATCACCTAGCGACTACTATAAGCACTGAAACGAGCTGAAGGCGCGCCACCGTCATCGCCTCTCCCTCGTCGGAACCGGGCACAACTTGTTGTAGTAGACAGTCGAGAAATCGTCGTGCTAAAGCCCTATAGAACCAACACATTAGAATATCAACGCCGCCGATGAAGAGAAGCTTAGATCGGAATGATCCAACCTGAAGACACATGAACAAAGACGAACAAAGACCGGATCCGAGCGAATCCACCGAAGACAACCACCGATTGAATCCTTCGAGATTCGCCGAAGACACACCTCCACACGCCCTTCGACGATGCTATACACACCATCAGGACGAGGGCTAAACGGAGAGAACCTTATTTCATCTTCAAGAAGCCGCCGTTGTCTCGTCTTTTTGAGGACACAAACCCTAACAGAACTTAAGGAAGCACCTGAAAATGGAGCCCTCCCAAGTAGTTCCTCATGAATAATACTCCCCCGTTCCAAATTACTCGTGTAATTTGGAACGGAGTAGTACTCCCTTAGTTTAGAAATACTTGTCGGGAAAATGATTAACAATGGGTCTATCTAGAACTAAAATACGTGTAGATACATTCATTTATCCAATAAGTATTTCTGGACGGAGTGAGTAAGTAATATATAAAAATATACACAAACAAAAAACACAGAGATATAATTTCATTATAGCATGTGCTACTATCAGTAGATACTCTTGACATTATACACACACCGCTAGTAAAACTGTAGTCTTTCATGAATTAGTTTCATAGTGTCCATCTAGTATGCAAGTCAAATTGACTATAATATAAACAACCTTCCTATTCCTCTTCTATTTGTTTTCTTCCTCTTTTTTAAATATTCATATTTTTCGTATATTAATTCATGAGTTTCCTAAAATAATATGAACATTTTTTAAGCTTCACAAAGATTTTTAAAATTCATGAACATTTTTAGGTTCATGAATATTTTTAAATTTCACCAACTATTTAAATTGTGAATATTATCTGAAATCCATAAATATTTTATAACTCAATTTTTTTAAATCATGTTTTTTAATTCACAACATTTTTAGAACCCAAGATTTTTATAAAAAATACTTGAACATCTTTTAGTTTATCTAACTTTTTCAAATAAAAAATGATAGAAGGTTTTATGTGCTAGTATTGGCGGAAGATAAATACTAAGCGAACGGGCCAAGCAAGCAGCCAAGCTGAGTGAGTGCCAGTTTAATGGGCCTGCCCATGTGAGCGTTACAGCAACAATTTCATAATTTCAGCGTGGAATAGGAGCTCACAAGGGGCTCACGTAACCACAATCTGTTGTATAGAGGCCGAAACATGTAACCACAACCACACATCAAACAACTCAACTCAACTAAATCTAAGGCAAATGTGAATGAAACCTGCAACTAAAATAGTGCAAATGACTTGGTTGTATATTTATAATCCATTTAAAACTGACATGGTTATCTATTTAATATTTTCCCGCTGTTTCCTTCCTTTTCTTTTCCCATTTGCTATTTTTTCTTTTATTATTTTTGTTTTTAAAATACTTTTATTTTCCATATATTAATTGTATTTTTTGTAAAAAACTTGAACATTTTTTAAACTTAAAAAATCATGAAAAATTTTAAGTTCATGAATATTTTTAAAGTACAATAATAATTTTCAATTTGAAATTCACGAATATTTTAAAATACCATATTTTTATAAAAAATATCATATTTTTCCAGTTCACGACATTTTTAAAACCCAAGATTTTTTTAAAAAATCCTTGAACATCTTTTAATTTAATGAACCTTTTCAAATAAAAAATGATAGTAGATTTTATGAGCTAGCGGAAAGAAAAAAAAACTAAGCGAGCAGGCGAAGCAAGGAAGTGACAGTTTTATAGGCCGGCCCAAGTGAGCATTATATTAACAATATCATAATTTCAGTGCGGAATAGAAGCTCACAAGGGGCTCACACAAGCACAATCTGTTGTATAGAAGCCAAAACATGTAAAGACATCACAACCACGCATCAAACAACTCCACTCAACTCTCAAAACAAATTTGCCTAAAAAAACTCTCAAAACAAATATTGTCTTCAACAACAACCAAACATGATATATGAATGAAAAAAGAACACCGCCACAACATAACTACTCCCTCCGTTTCGAATTACTTGTCACATGTATGGATGTACCTAGATGTATTTTAGTTCTAGATACATCCATTTCTGTGACGATAATTTGGAACGGAGGGAGTAAAACTCAAGCCAATGCAGAAAAAGAGTTATTCCCCGAAGTAAAGATCGACGTGGCGGCGAAATGCGTGTTAACCTCCAGTGCATCACAGTATATCAGTACAAGCTTTGAGAAATCAAGAACTACAAGGCGACGACACGTCACTCAAACATCAATCACACCACCACACTTTGAATTTAGTCTTTGCACCCACACGACCAAGTTGATCATGCAAACACTGCGAAGAAATTGACAAGAGTGAATCAATTCAGTTCCGGCCACGCCATGGATTAGCTCGGAAGGACTGGCAAGCAAAGCTAGTGCTTGTGCTCGAAGTCCTCGGTGGCGCGCGTGGGCTGGTAGCCGATGCCGTGGCGGTTGTTGGGGAACATCATGAAGGCGTAGCTGGCGACGCCGCCGACGACCGGCGGCAGCACGGCCATCATGGTCCTCTCGCCGGCCTCCAACGCCGGGTAGAGGCAGGACACGGTGTCCCTGTCCAGCAGCGCCAGCGTCGCGAACACGATGAGCGAGAGCGCCGCGTGCACGAAGTCGCCGGCGCGGAGGCGGTACCCGGAGAGGTCCCTGGCGGGGCCGGCGTCCGGGTCGGCGGAGAAGGTGCGCATGCCGCGGCGCGTGACGACGCCGTAGTAGACCCTGCCGTCGGAGCCGACGTAGCTGTCGGTGAAGGAGGAGAAGGCGCAGAAGGCGCCGCAGAGAGCGAGGAGCGCGCCGGAGAGCACCTTGTTGTAGGCGGCGCAGTGGCCGTTGTTGGTGACCAGCGGGCTGAGGAACTGGAACATGAACACCGTGCCGCTCGGCAGCAGCTTGATGAGGTCCGCCACCCCGCGCAGCGCCCGCTCCGCCACGCCCACGCTCCTCGCCGCCGGTGCCGCCATCAGTGGCCGCCGCGTCGTCGCGTCCTGGCTCCCTATCTTGGATTCGATGGCACTGTTGGCTCCTGCGCTCTAGACTGCACTGCTGCTCGATCTTGGTGTGGGTGGAATGAGACGCGATCGATCAGCGACGATTTATAGGCCGGCGTTGCGGACTGCTTGATCGTTGGATGACGGGTGGACGGAGTAATGGAGGCGGTTGCTTGGAAGGATTTCTTTCGGGGCGTTGGTTTGCTTGCACTCCTGGATGTTATGCTGCTGATATGATATGGACGGATCGATGGATGGACAGCGTTTTTGCGTTGCCCGCTGGACATGTTTTTGGCATGCGTGCGAAGCTCAAGGCGCGGACGGGCCGGATCGGCGGGCGGGGTGGTGAAGATTTAGTTTTAGTTTTTCCTTGCTTTGCTTTCTTTTTGTTTCTTCTTTCTTATAACAGGAATTTCTTTGCTTTGCTTCGAAGACATGCGTGAGAGGTGAGGCAGACATGCACGGGCTGGACTTAGTTTGATCCACTGGTCGGCGGTATGTGGAAAATTTTGGAGTTTTTTGTTTGTGGGTTAAGCTTACGTGATTAATTGGGTCTAATGGGATAGTCATGTGTGCATATATGAAACGGAATAAAGATGGACCGAGCTACTACCTCGGTCCTGGTTTATTGGTTCCCGTTGTATTCATAAATTTAACTAATAAAATATTCATGTATGTTAGAAAAAAATTATATCATTAAAAACTATGATCAAATATGAATCCAACGATATAATTTTTGTTGACATGTATAAATATTTTATTAGTTAAATCTTTAATCAAAATTTGGCACAAATTACAAAGTGAACCAATAAACTAGGATGGAGGTAGTACTTATGAAGTACTTTTAGCAACTCCAATTAGGACTTCCATTTGCCAGTCTTTCCTTCACTGCTAAATCAATCATAGCCCTCGTATTCGCGGGTCGTTTAGCCAACATATCTGTTACTTCCGCGGTTGAGTAAAACTTATCATCTTACGATGATGCACCCGTTTTAAGGTCGGTCGGCTCCGCGGGGTTCATGAAAAATTCATCCCACAACCGCGGAATGGAATAAAAACTACCAGAAAGTTGAGGCCAAAAAAAAGGACTCCATCGACGAGGGTAACCAAGTATGCTATCCTATATGTGCAGATTTCCTAAAAACACTAAGTAAAAAGGTAAAATACAAATCGGAGTTATGGCATTCAATCTCATATTGCAAAAAAAATCATTCATTTCTAGGAGCACAAGCAAAAATGGTTGAAAAATCTACTGTTCAAAAGAGAGTAAAACAACAACAAAAAATCCCAAGAACTACTCCAAAGTCACTTACTCGAGTGAAAATCATAGCTTTTATAGCATCTTTGTCCGCCTGAAGTCGTGTGAACCAGAAATGAATTAACAGATACAAGCAAGACCTACTCCCTCCCATCCCAAGAATTAATAATTGAAGAAAGCTATCACCAGTCGCCAACATTATAGCATAATAAAAAATGTATAAATAACACATAAATCGAGGGCTGTCCGGATACTCAGACATATATGAAATGGAATAAAGATTGACCAAGGTACTTATGAATGTAACCACAATTAACATCACTACAGTCAGACATACATGAAATGAAATAAATCGAGGGTAGGGTAGTGGAAAGAGGGGCAATGAGACTTGTCGTCGGCGGTGCCTTTGTCACCTTGGGAGAAGTAAAGGCACCATTAGGACTTACATTTGTCAGTCTTTCCTTCACTACTAAATCAATCATAGCCCTCATATTGGCGGGCCGGGTCGTTTAACCAACATCTCTGTTACTTCCGCGGTTGAGTAAAACTTATCATCTTACAATGATGCACTCGTTTTATGGTCGGTGGACTCCACGGGGTTCATGAGAAATTCATCCCACAACTCTGGGCATCTTACTCTAGGGCAGTTAGGGGTTGTTTGGATTTAGCCTGAGCTGGCCCTGCCAACCCATGGGCATGCCAAAAAATTGGCGCAGCTTTCGCCCGCCCCAATTTTGCCATCCGTTGGCGTGAAAATGAACTGGGAAAGTAGGGGTAGCCAGGGCTCGCCAAAAAAATTGCTACCAACCAAACGCCTTCCTATACACTCAGTCAAAACCAAAAAATTGGTTGGACAGGTTGGAACATCAATCCAAACAGGCCCTTAAGCCATAAGATAGAGCACGGAGCTCTGATGCCACCTGAAAGGATCAAGATGGCTCTAGAGGAGTCTGAATAGGCACAACTACACATCTTACTTTTATTATTAGAAAGCAAAGGCTATGCGAAATATAAAGATGTGCGTAAACAATTGCTATGGTGGGATAAATAACCTATATTAGATGACTCGTTCCATCCTTGGCGCAAAGACCAATTGTAGCCAATAATCGAAGCAACTTATGAACATCATATTTTATGAATGATCCACAAAGGAGCAAAAAGTAAATGCTACATAGAACTTGGCTGAACTATTTGAATCATGTTTTCCGTGAATTATCTGCAAGCGAGTATGTGTATAATGCATTTTATTTGTCGTGTCTTTACCAATGACAGACAATGATAATGGTTGCCCATGTCTTTATCTGGTGATACATAAGATGATCGTTGCCTAAGATGGGCACTCCCACTCGGAACCACATTAGGAGATGGAAACCAGACGAACCAACCAGCTGATTCACAATCCAGGGAAGAGCTCGATCAGTGGGCACGTGGAACATAGAAACCAACCAGTCAGGTGGCAGCGTGCAAAGGCCAGGTAGACATGTCAGAAGACGCCATCCGGCCAACTGTAACATGCAAAGTCTAGTAAGACATCCCAAAACACGTCATCCGGCCACACCGCAACGTCTAAAGACCGGGTAGACATACAAAAACACGCCTTCCGGCCTAGGGAACGCAATGGCAAGAGGTCGTGCCACACCCTGACAGAACACAAGCAAAAAGAAAGCTGAGAGAAATGATCAGCTGATCCAAGGAAATAGCACGATCACAAGGCACGGGCAGCACACGTGCAATTGACCAATTGAAGCCAACAAATTCACAAATAATCATCTCGGAGTTGATGACACATATCTCATATGCTATAAATAATACACTATAAACGCTCATAGGACCTTGTGTAGATAGCAATTATTAAAAAAAACTTCTCGAACCTTTCCAAAACTAGCAATAAGGTTTCAAAAGGTTCCTAATTAAAACCATTCGCCGTGTCTGCTAGAGCTAATGGGTCGACCCAGTAAAAGCCTCACGATAGCAAGCAATACGTATTGCTCACAACGAGTGAAACATAGCATTTGGTCGCGCCTCGTAAAAAAACAATGGTCGCACCGACACGTAACATCGGCCATGTAGCGTCGTTTAGACCCCCATTGCTCTTGTCGAGCATTCCGTCGAGCAAGTCGGGTGCAACAAAGTGAGGCCTCATGCAATAAGTGCTTGCCGCACTTAGTCGATGGACAACCTCTACGGTGTAGTGAGGCCTCCTATTTAGCGCATAGGGCGTTGCATAACGTGCAAAAATGCAGCCCGCGATTCCCTCTGTGTACTTCTTCTGGGCCGGCACATACGGCGTCTGGGCGTGCCCCAACTTTTTTTGTGCTTTTTCATATTTTTCACTTTTCAAAAAACTATTCCGGATTTTAAAAAAATCTGAAGTTCAAAAAATGGTGATTAATTTGTTATTTCTTTGAAATTTATAAAATGTTCACAAAATTAGAAATTGTTCCCATTGGAAAATGCTCCGAATTTAAAAAAAATGCAAATTTGAGAAATGGTTCTGGATATTTTTTCGCATTTTGTTAAATGTCTAATTTTTCTAAAATGTGCTGAATTTTAAAAAGTGTTCAATAATTCAAAAGGATGTTCATGAATTTAAAAAATGTTCTAAATTTAAAAAATTATTCGCAGATTCAGAAAATGATTTTGAGTTCAAAAAATACTAATATATTTAAAAATGTATCCCCAGACTGCATAGAATTCATCAATTCAAAAATTACTCTTGAATTCAAAAAATATTCAATAATTGCAAAAAATGTTCTTTGATTCAGAAAATTTCATGAATTTTAAATTTGCTCCCAGAATTAAAAAAAATGTTCATGAATTCAGAAAAGGTTATGAGTTAAAAATTCACACATTTCACAAAATGGTCGCCAATTCGACATAATTTGATAAGTTCAGAAAAACGAAATTCAGAAAATTCACTAGTTTGAGAAGCTTTCACGTATCTGAACAAAATAGTTAATTTGAAAATTATATTTAATATTTGAAAAAAAAATTGTTCATGAAATGGAATGGTTGAAATGCTATTTTTCACTGGTACTGATTCATATTAGGATTCGCCAACGGGAGGAAAATAGCTGGCTGGTGCAATACTGTAGCATAGGTTTTGTGTTTTTCTTTGTTACCCCTTTTTGCACTGTTTTCTATCTCGGTTTTTCTTGGGGATTTTCAGTTTCAATTTTCTTTTCATTATTCCTTTTCGATTCTTCGGTTTTCCTTGGTTTTCTTTGTTCTTTTGTTTATTTTTTCGGTTTACTTTTTGTTTCTGGTGTTCAACCGCTATTTTTATTTATTTTATTCTTCTTTATTTCCACACATGCCTATAGTCTTTCACGCATAATGTACATTTTTGGTATACATTAGTGACATTTTATTTGTACATGTTTCAGATTTTCAAAATACATGATTAATATTTCTCTTATATATACAGTTTTTTTAATGTCAATTTTTTCATTCATGTGGTACTTTTTTTAATACGCCAGGCACATTTATATAGATGTTTAACATTTGAGAATAAATGAATAAATGATTAATATTTTGACATAATATATTGTTTACGATCAGCGTCACTTGGCGTGCTCTCAGCCGCTCGCCACATGTCGCGCTTTGGGCGCTCTCTCCGAATTTTGTTTCTATTTATTTTTCCGCGCGTATTTTTGGATTTTTAAACGGTTTTTTTCGACATTTCAGTTTTCCACCGGTTTTTCTTAGCTTTTGTATAAAAAAAATCAAAAACAAAATTGAGCGAAAAACACATTTTCTTTTTTTTTCTTTCACGAGAGTTTGGTTTTGCTTTCGCGAGAGGCGCAATTTTGCTTTAGCTAGAGTCACGGCCGTGTCTCTCGAAAACGAAAAAAAAGGTTTTCTATCTTTTTTTTTGTGAGAGACACGGTTTTGCTTATGCGAGAGGCACGGCTATGCTTTCGCGAGAGTCACGGCCATGCCTCTCGGAAAACGAAAAAACGCGTTTTCTGGTTTTCTTTCTTTCGTGAGAGGCACAGTTGAGTTTTCGCGAGAGTCACGGCCGTGCATCTCGGAAACGAAAAAAAACGCGTTTTCTGCTTCTTTACTTCCGTGAGAGGCACGGTTTTGCTTCCGTAAAAGGGACGGTTGTGATTTCGCGAGAGGCATGGGCATGTCTCTTTCGAAAAGGGAAAAAAATTATGCTCCCGATTCTGTTTTTCCTTTGGGTTTTTTCGTGAAAAAAAGTTCGTCAAAACCTATCAACATGAGATTTACTTTTGAAGATCTCGGCTCGAGGAATCCAACGATGAAAACGGTTCAAGATTTAGACGCACGGTTTAAGAGATAATTTTTTTCAATAAACAAATCAACGAAAAAAGAAAAAAACTACAAGGTTTCGACGAGTAGCGCACATGCAGCACGCCATTTGTCACAACCTGAAAAAATAGGAATGATCTTTATAACAAATACTCTTCAATTAGTGATTTTGGAAGCAAGCAGCTGTGCTCCCTTGCCTGGGGAATCCTATATGGGGCACAGGTTGCCCGTGAGCGACCTGGCGCGCACCACCCTCGCACGCTGGGCATTCCTGTGGGCCGGACCATTTTCATGTTTTTTTCTTCCTTTTCTTTTTTGTTTTCCCTTTTTATTTTTTTTATTTTTTATTTTTCTTCTTTAATTTTCACTTTTCTGCGAATTTTATTTTCAAATTCGCGAACAATTTCTTCCATTGAATTCAAGAAATGGTCATTAATGTAAAAAATATTCACCGAGTTCAATTTTTTGTTCACTGGATTTAAAAAATGTTCATCAGATTCGAAATTTGTTCATTGAAATAAAAAAAATCATGAAATTGTAAATTAGTTCATCGATTCAAAAATTGTTCATACAATTCAACAAAAAAACATTAAATTTAAAAAAAATCATCCATTTTTTGACAAAAAGAAATCTTGGGTACAAATTTTGTTAATCAAGTTTAAAAAATGTTCATCATTATTAAAAAAAATCATTCTTTTGAAATCACGGACATTTTATAATTCAAGAACTGTTTTTGACAATTCACAATTATTTGAAATTTTAGTACCTTTTTATAATCCCAAATTATTATAACATGCTATTTCGTCCCAAAATAAGTGTCTCAACTTTGTACTACCTTTAGTGCAAAGTTATAATAAGCTTGAGACACTTATTTTGAAACGGATGAAGTAGAACAAACCAAAAAAGAAACAAAAACAAATAGGGCATCCAGCCCTGCAAATGGGCGGGCCCAAACTGGCGCACGACCCCCTGGCGTGCACCGTGCTCATATAGGAGGTCCCCCTTGCCCGGCGGGTGGCTAAACGGGTTGTGCCCGGCACAGGGGACGCCTAGGGCCGTGCCTGGGCTGCGAAGCCAGGCTTGTTTGTCGGCACGACAAGACCCATTATTTTTATTTTCAGACTTCTTTTTGATAGATAGGCCCAAAACACAGCCCATTTGGCGAGGTCTGGCATTGAGTCATGCCCTTCTTCCGTGGACACTCCCAGTGGGAGAGCGGCCCGACGTAATGTTGACAAATTCGGTTTTACAGATTTGAGGGGTCGACCGAGACGACCGTCCCGTATCCGTACACCGGAGCTGGAGGAGACGCATGAGGATTTCCCTTCGATCCCACCACCGTTGTTGTCAAGTTACAGCTTCCGGAAAACTTCGCTCAAACGAATCACGAATTTGCACCAGCCTTTTTCAGTGCCCAGAGCAAGAAATGTTGAGAAATTCAAGCAGATCTGAGTCTTGCCACAGCACCTATGTCAGATCGCAATATCAAGAACGGACGACAGAGCAAACAATTTGGATAAATCAGAGAGATTTCTGACTTGATTTTTCATGGCAGCACAGATCTACATCGACACCATTAGTAAAACAGCGATCACTGTTACAGCGAAGCATAAGCTAATCGATGCTCGTCTGTCTCTAAGCCTTCTTGTCGGCCTTCTTGGGGGACTTGGCGGCCTTCTTGGGCGACTTGGGCTCCTTCTCCGCCGTCTTCTTGGGGAGCAGCACGGGGTTGATGTTGGGCAGCACGCCGCCGTGCGCGATGGTGACGCCGGCCAGCAGCCTGCCGAGCTCCTGGTCGTTCCTCACGGCCAGCAGCAGGTGCCTGGGCACGATGCGGGACTTCTTGTTGTCCTTGGCGGCGTTCCCGGCGAGCTCCAGCAGCTCCGCGGCCAGGTACTCGAGGACGGCGGCCAGGTAGACGGGGGCGCCCGTGCCGACGCGCTTCGCGTAGCGGCCGTTCTTGAGGTACCGGCCGATGCGGCCGACGGGGAACTGGAGCCCGGCCTTGACGGACCGCGTCACCGACTTCTTCCTGGGCCCGCCGGCCTTGCGCCCCGCCGCGCCCTTCTTCCCCTTCGCTCCGGCTCCGGTGGCTGAGGCGTCCATGGCTGGCCGGTGGTGCTCGTCGAGACGAGGGGGAGGAGGGATTTGGTTGTGGTTTGGGATTTCGCGGAGGGTGTTCGTCGCTGCTGGGGAAGAAAGGAGAGGCTGAGTATTTAAAGGGACGGTGGTGGGCCCGTCGATCCGCGTGCACGGGCATTCGATGGTTGGATCGTGAGGGAAACGAACGGTTGCGATGTCCTCTGGGTAAGGATATGGATTGTTGAGACTGAGATCCGGTGACTTGGTGTGGGCGCCCCCTCTCTCAACCGTTCGATCTTGAATCAAGAGGCGGATCAGCATAAACAGTTCGAGCCAATACCCAGTGCACAGTGTTCTTGTAGTATCCTATCGCTATGGTATTTGATCTGGACTGCTTGCTTTCAATCAAACGGATGAGTTGCCGCAAGTTACGGCGTGACTTGCCCACAGCCAGTCACCTGATCCCAGTCCGGATTGGTGTATGTGTTTGGTGGTTTAATCAGATCGTGCTTGTTTTTCTCACGCCATCTCCAAAGCGACCCTAAAACCACTCCCAACCATTCGGACCGCGTGATTTGAACATGTTTTTGTCATCGAGCGCAGACCTTTATTATGTAAACGGGTGAGGTCAAAAGCACACTGTCACTCTTTAGGTTTCGAGGTCAAATTTCGTTGAACAAATTATTCGGTTGTGCTTGATTGTTCCTAGTTTAAATTATTCAATATGCATAAAGAACTTTTTTTTGAAGTGCTATCATGCATACATTCAGCCTCAGTTAGCAGCCTCAGTGCATAGCGTATCATTGTCTTTGTTGTTTATTTGATGATTAAGACCCACGAATGTTTTTTCTTGAGATACAACGGGTTTGAACTTTCGTTGAAAAACTTGTTGGCGGCTTAGTTTGTTCACTCTCGACTCTCGTAATCTCTGTTGCATTCAGGACTATTTAGGCTGAAAACTTCCTGATGATGGAATGTACATGTGTGGCTTCTCCTTTACATATAGAGAAAAGTATACTTTTCGTTTCTCAACTCTTGCTGAAGTCTAGATTTGGTCCCTCAACTCTTGCTGAAGTTTAGATTTGGTCCCTCAACTCTAAAACCAAATAACTTGCATCCCCAACTAACGAAACCGGACAAGGTTCGTCCCTGCTCTCAATTTTGACCGTTTTTTGTGCCGACCGACCCCGGTTTTGACCGATGCTGACTAAAATTCGTGTAATTTTTTCATATCCATGAACTTTTTGACATTCACATACTCTTTTCAAATCCACATAGTTTTTTCAAGGTCGTGTAATTTTTTCAAAAATAAACATACTTTTTTTCAAATTCGTGAACTATTTTGAATTTTGTGTACTTTTTACAAATCCATGAATTTTTTAATTTGCGTACTTTTCTCAAATCAGTGTATTTTTTTTCAAATTCGTGTAATTTTATCGAATCCAAGTATTTTTTTTCAAATCCATGAACTGTTTTTGAAATTCACGTACTTGTTTCAAATCCGCATACTTTTTAAAGTTCGTGTATTTTTTTCAAATCCGTGTTCCTTTTCCAATCCATGAACTTTGTTTGAAATTCACATACTTGTTCCAAGTTGACATAATTTTTCAAATCCACACATTTGTTTTCTAATTCGCGTAACAGATATTCAAATCCGCGTATGTTTTTAAGTTCGCATAAAATTTTCAAATCCAAAAAAATATACGTGAATATGAATAAGTATGTCAATTTTTAAAAATTACATGAATTTGAAAAAAACCACATGAAGTTTAAAGAAGTACGTGGATTTAAAAAAGTACGTGAACATGGAAAAAGTACGCAGATTTGGAAAAAGTACACAAATTCTTAAAAAGTTCACGTATTTGAAAAAAGTATCCGAATTTGAAAACATTAAGCAGACTTGGAAAAGGTACGCGAATTTGAGTCGGCACGGTCAAAACCGGGTTGGGACAGCACAAAAACCGGTCAAAACCGTGACCAGGGATGAATCTTGGCCGGTTTCAGTAGTTAAGGACGCAAGTTGTCCGGTTTTGAAGTTGAGGGATCAAATCTAGACTTTGCCAAGAGTTGAGGGATGAAAAGTATACTTTTCTCTTGCATATATGAAAATGATGCTTGGTTTCCCTTCTTCCAAATGCCAATCTGTTGAATGATCCTATTGTGATTAGGTTCACTTGTGCTGGAACAGTTGGCTACAAAATCCTGGATACTGCTGCTGCATATATACAATAACTGATACTGAAGATGAATTACCATTTCGTTGGCGTGCTCCAAAACGCAAGCAGCCGCCGCCCATAACTTGTCGATGTCTCTGCTGCACGCTGAAGACGACAAGTACCCAGGGCCTCCCCCTGGACATCCCTGGCGGTGATACTCCGGCATCACGGGGATCCACCCCTCATCTTGCCGACCTGTGCATCAGCTTAACTGAACTGGCACAAGATGAGCTGGGTACTCTTATATATGCAACTCCCATCCTTACTTCGCCTGAAACTAACGCCATCAAGGCAGTTTGTTGGTACAGTCCAAGGCAATAAGGCATCTCTTTCCCAAATCTGAAGGTGCTTGTCTTCAAGGTTACGTTCGTGAATAGAAGCCGTTGACTCTTTCTCCTTTACTAAGAGCATCGTCCCATTTTACTGTTCTCTACCAGAATACACTCATCTTATATCCAGAGATCCTTCTGTTTTTCTCAAATTCACATGTTCTATTGTTTTTCGGGTATTTGTTGCTTGGGCGGCTGGCTGGCTTCCTTGCTTGGGATGTCATACCAAAGGACTCATCAAGCTAATTAATTGATATTCCTTGCACTTCCAGTCAAATACTGAAGCAGATACACCTTCTAAAAAGGGTGGTCTCGAGTCTCTCAGCTGAAAGTTGCTAAGTACTGCACCTCGGGCACGGCACAGCCCACCGAGGCCTGATTAGTAAACGGGTCATGCCATGCTCAGGCCCAAGCATGACCCATTTGCTAATCAGGCTGGCCCGGGCCACGTGTTGTTCGACCTGATGGATATTTGGTCATTTTGGCCTATTGAGCTGTTTTTAGACCATATATACAAATAAATAAAACTTATAAACGGGCCATGCAGTGCCACCCAGCGTGCCCTATCTCCAGGCCCAGGAACGGCCTATTTAGCTCGAGTGCTAATGGGGCAGCCCAGCTGGCACGGCCCAGATGACCACCTTTGCCCTGCCAAAACAAAAATACAATAAGAACCCATAGGAATGTGCCCAAAATCTATTGGGGACAAAACATGTGATCCGACAATCTGAATTCATCTACTTAACAGATAATCAAAGCAGAATTTAGGCAACGCCGGTTGGAGAGCATCTACAACCGGACTCCTCAAACATCACATCGAACCGCTCGGTCATTGCTCGGACATTGCCCGACCGGGAGAGATGGAAAAAGCCACCCAACCAGGCACCTCACTTTGTCCCCATATGACTGGGTTGTCCGTAAATCCCCATAACCATACCAAATATGAGGAGGATATGAGGATGTTCGGGCAGCTCTCCACATGGGATGCGGCCCCACCCCAGGCCACCTCTTCTCTTTCTTTATTTTTTCCTTTTTCTCTTTCTCTCTACATCTCAACTAATCACATGCATTTGACCGTACAATTTGGGAAGAATGTAGGGGACATGATTGTATACATGCATAAACGAAGGCTTAAAACTGACGCGCCCGGGAATTGACCAGCACATCCGCGAATGTTTGAGGATCAAAATTAGGCAATCCTGATTGTTGATGCTCTGATCTAGCCTTAACCTTTTGCTTAACTTCTTTTTTCTTCACTCTGGGTCCTGAACTCATGCAGATATTTCTAAAAACAACACCTTCGTTACCCCTATGTACCACAATACTTATCGCGGGGGAACCAAGAGGGAGTAGTTTACAAGATGTAGTTTTCCTGCTAACTTTCTTTTCTCATTTTTGCGGGGAGGCTGCTACCTTTCATGTGTCCTTCCTCTATTCCACTTTGCCAAAAAAAATCTCTATTTCATTGAATAAGGTGTTTATGTTTTTAATAATCCAACTTTGACAATAACTTAAATCAATAGTATATATTTTTGTGGATTAAAAACTATAACATTGGATACTTCTTTTCAATACAAATTCAATGATATAATATTAATCAAATATAATCCACATTTGTTTGGTCTAATTCATGGTCAAAGTTAAATTTTAGGATACGTGTGCGTCTCATTCATTGAAAGGGAGGGAGTATGTTAGTAAAAGCAACGAAAAAACGTGTGTGCTCAAACTATTTTCCATGCCAGATGTGATAATATGAGTTCTACCAGGCGAATCCAAACAGTTTGTATTTTGAACTCGAGCTTTTGGACTGTACATCGGTTTTTTCGTTCTGAACTCGAGCTTTTGGAGCGGGGACAATGCGTCGTATAGAAATGCTGCAATGTTGCCGGTGATGCTCTGCGTCGGTGACGGCCACAGTGGCCAAAGGCCCAACTGAGAGACGAGTGCGACGTACAGTACGCCATGCTGATGGATGGGGTTGGCGGAGATAAACGTGTGGGAACCTGTAGGCGCGGAAGGGGTCGCCGGCATCCGTGGTCAGCAACGAGGACGGTGCTGCTACGGTGGGCTTACCTTCGGTCTCGCCTCCACCGCTGTCAAGGCAAAGCTTCAACGGGGGTCGAACACATGGCGGGCATCGCTGAAACTTCAAGGAAAACTTCCCTCAGGCGAATTCAGCACCACAAGAAAGAAATGTAGACTAATTCGAACAGATCTGAGTTTTTCCACCGCACCTGTGTTAACATTGCGACACCAAGAACAGAAGAAGAAGAAGAAGAAACAATTTGCTCAAATCAGAGAGATTTCTCACTTTTTCCTCTTCGCAGCACAGATCTACGTCACAGCAATCACCGTTACAACAGAGCACTACAGCGGCTAAGCCAATCGAAGAGAGATTTCTGAATTGTTTTCTTTCCTGGCAGCACAGATCTACATCGAAACCATTAGTTCTACAAGCTAATCGATGCTCGTCTGTCTCTACGCCTTCTTGTCGGCCTTCTTGGGGGACTTGGCGGTCTTCTTGGGCGACTTGGGCTCCTTCTCCGCCGTCTTCTTGGGGAGCAGCACGGGGTTGATGTTGGGCAGCACGCCGCCGTGCGCGATGGTGACGCCGGCCAGCAGCCTGCCGAGCTCCTGGTCGTTCCTCACGGCCAGCAGCAGGTGCCTGGGCACGATGCGGGACTTCTTGTTGTCCTTGGCGGCGTTCCCGGCGAGCTCCAGCAGCTCCGCGGCCAGGTACTCGAGGACGGCCGCGAGGTAGACGGGGGCGCCCGTGCCGACGCGCTTCGCGTACCGGCCGTTCTTGAGGTACCGCCCGATGCGGCCGACGGGGAACTGGAGCCCGGCCTTGACGGACCTCGTCACCGACTTCTTCCTGGGCCCGCCGGCCTTGCGCCCGGCCGCGCCCTTCTTCCCCTTCGCTCCGGCTCCGGTGGCTGAGGCGTCCATGTCTGGCCGCTGGTGCTCGTCGGGACGCGGGAGGGGAGGGGATTTGGTTGGTGATTTGGGATTTGTGTTCTGACGGGATGAGATGAGGATGGGTGAGTATTTAAGGAGCGATGTGAGGGACGGTGGTGGGCCCGTCGATCCGCGTGCGAAGGCGCTCAGCGGTTCGATCGGGAGGGAAATGGACGGCTGCGATGTCCAAAATATCGTGCGTGCCGGATTTGTTCTCTCTAATATCTGTCGGTGGTTTAATTACACTGATGCTCCGCGAAAATCAGACTGTGCCCAAAGATGTACTCCCTCCGTCCGAAAGTACTTGTCGGAGAAATGCATAAAAATGAATGTATCTATAACTAAAATCCGTCTAGATACATCCATTTCTCTAACAAGTATTTCAGGACGGGGGGAGTACTAGAAATAATAAGGAGAACTAAATAATTGTTTCATGATAATAATGAGATATTAATACATAAGTAAAAAACAAATAATAGCACGCACCTCGTAACAAAAAAATCAACTTTGTATGTGCATGTTTTTTTATCGAGAATATGCAAATTTTGCATACAATTTTATGATAGGTAGGACAAAATCAACAGTGACATACATCAGGTAAGTGAGGAGCAGAAGCACCACACTAGAGGTGGAATAGCATAGACGTGAGGTATTGCATTCAGCAATTCCCCATGGATAACCAATGTACAGGTAAAATGGTCCTAATGGACCCGGCGCAAAGTACGGCGTCGTGCAGCAGCAGCCATGGTTCGTTGGGAGCCTGCAACAACAACAACGCAGCGTTGGTTAAGTGCAGAAACAACGGCGCCAGGAGCCTGCACGGTGTTGAGTCTGGGAGAGGGATGGTGCACACACAAGCCTGGTGGCTCATGTTGAGTGTTGATGGCTCGTTTATGGCGCATGCAGCAATGGAAGAAACTGAATGGTGCTCCGAGACAGCGACGGTGGCATCATCTTCAAATCGTGTGGTCATGTCTTCACATGTGACTAGTCGAGGAACTCAAGGCTTGCAAGGAGGGAATTGCTTTGGTGTTGGGGTGGAGCTCACTTCCATTCACCATTGAAACGGATAGTGTTAATTCCAACCCCTCGGTTGACAGATCACAGTACGTTGTCGTCGTCCAGGATATCTCATGGATGCCGAGAGGGGACAGAGAGATTTAATGTCCAGGTGATAAAAAGAGAGTGTAATCTCATTAGTCATGAACTAGCTAAGATTGGGGGAAGTTGTGGTTGGGACATGAGAGGGTTGTAATACTATGTGCACTAGGTTTATCTTGGTGCATGTTAACTAACACACAACCCTTTTCATGCAAAAAAGAACTCTCCTAGCTCAGAATCCATACAATAAGGCAAAGAGATGATAAACATGATATCTAGACCACGTCACGACCAACGCCAGGCACCATCATCGCGCGACCATGACTCCAGGACGGACCAGGTCAATGTATCTCCCACCAAAGCAACTAGAGTATCGACAAAGTGAGTTGCAGGATCTGGCTAGACTGGAGGGAGTGTCGTCAATGTCATACATAGAGCCTCCTATGTCCACATCATGAGTAGCGTCCATTGTCTTCAAATCCAACACCAAACATACCACAAACAACCAAGATAACGCCTTCATGGAGGGTAGGCCGCGGAGATGCCACTGTCGTCCGACCTGGTGAACCAGACCTAGGATTTTCCCCGACGGTGGCCTGCAAGGGTTCCATAATCACCAGCACTAATATGAACTATCATATATCTAATTCACTCTTCATGTGCATAAGTGGGTGGAGCCGGATACAAAACATGTTCTACTCTAACGTGGACTTCATGCCACGTACACCACTACTGCATCTTCCCCAAGCAGGTTACCACTACGATAATTAAGGGTTTCCTTGTGGACGCAACTTCTAGAAGGGTTCTTCGTTAATCCCCTATCAATTGCAGCAGCGGTGGATTGAGGCTTTTACTGTCACCTCAAATTACCCCAGCATCCCTGCCCTTACAACGGCAGTAATATACGCCATGAAAACAAGGCAATAATGTGAGTGAGGGCTCCTCTCAACATTCGCAAAGGCTACTAACTCGAATCATGAACAAAAGATATTGAATCGCATCAAGTATAATATAGAGTTCATCTATATTCCCCGGAACTAGTAAAATCAATCAAACATTAACTTAAAGGTTGGGGAAACGTTACAAGTCGGCATCAAGCCCGTGAGGGAGAAGGGGTGGTGGCGTTGGTGGAGATGGCGGTGCGGCGGCGGTGGTGATGATGGTGGCGGCGCCGGTGGTGATGATGATGGGGCGGCACCGGCGGGATGGCACCTGCCCAAAGGTGTCCCTTGATGGTGTCCCTTCTTCTTTGGTGGTGGAGCAGCAATGGATTTGATGTTGTGGATGAATGAGATGATGGAGATTGTGTCGCGGCGACAGGCAGCTAGGGTATGGAGGTGCATGTATAGGGCCCCTCCTCGGTTTCCTCCATTGATGGGATGCATACAAGGGCTCTATATGAGCCTTATCCTCTCCCAAACCCTTCCTTATTGTCCTGGATCTTGATTTGGAGCACTTTAGGAAAAAAATCACTTTTCCGCCCTCCAAAACACCTAAGTTTGGTATTGTAAGTCCTCGTATTGCTCCCGTACTTGGTCCTTTCATCGTTCTTGGTCCTAGGTTGTCCAAAAAACCCGTAGATACAAGAAAACAAAGAAACTAAGTGAAATACTAAATGTGCAACCTCACAAGACAAATAGTACAAAAACCGATAATCATGCATAATGGACAACTATTTGGTTCAAAGGGACATAATATATGAAAAGAACATGCAATAAATGAGCTCTAAAAATGCTTAAAATATAGAGCCAACAATCTCCCCCGCTTAAACCTTGGTCATCCTCGAGTAAGAAGGATGACTACCCCAAAGCTCACTGCTACCAAAAGCTTACACTAAACCAAAACCAAAAGTGATATCCATGTTCATCATGCAAGCATGCAAAAGTTAACTAGCAAGAGAGTGATACATACTATCCCCTTAGCTCCATTGCCATGGAGGTCGAGATAGATGAAAATATTTTTATGGAGCCCAAATTCCCACTGCCAAAGGTTTAGAGAGAAGGTCGGTATTATGTTAGGAATACAGAATTACTATTATAAACAAAAGAAATCATTCATCGGCGATCGCTTCAAAAGCACCAACCCGAGGCATACCAGGTACAATATCAAGACTGTATGTCTGTGTTATTCAACTGCTCAACTACCTATGCAGCACCGAGCGCGAGCCTATGACTCACACTTAAGAGAAAAATATAATAATGGTTGGGGTTTTGAGAAGTCAAAACCAAAAAAAATCTTGCATCAACGCAGCTCACCCATATCCCATCCTCGTGTGGCACCATGTCCCAAAAGTCCGCTTCCAGGACATGCCATCCAAAACTCATTAGTTCACTAGGGGTTTGTTTGGTTGTCTGCTCGCTTTTCGCATTTCCCACGAGCCTGACCCCGTTGAGCTTGTTGGAGGGTATGCAGGCTTTTGACCATGTTCTGCGTGTCATCTGGTCGCATGCATTTACCCCGGCATGTATCTTTCCGGGTAGTGTAAATTGCACTACAACGAGCCAATATATGAGGAAAATGGTTGATTTGAGCGTTCCTTCAGAGATTGGCCGAGGGATGCTTTGAGCTTCGTGTCGATGCAAGCATCCATGCGGGTAAGCAAATAGCCAATTCTTGGTCCACTAGAGCCCGCATGAGTTCGTGCAACCTACCAAACACACCATAGTTTGTCCAGAAGCTGCAAGCTCATGGGCATGACTATTATGTTAGTATAAACCTTGTGTTTGGTTTTGTGAGAGAATTTACAACTGGACTTGGCAAATCTGACCCTTCAAACGTCCGTGGACACGCCCGCGGACCGTACCTGGTCAAGGCTCAAATTTCTCTTCTCACAACCAGACACCTCAATTAGCATACCTCAAATCCATACAAACTCATGCAACTATGTAAACGATGTATTACACACATCGTCCGACTACTACATAAATGATGCATTACACACACCACGATGATCCAGCCCCTGAGGATCCGAGCGTCCGATGCGCCGACGCTATGGAGTCACGCAGGACAAATCCTACCGTTGGCCGGGCGCTGTCCTCCCGGGAGCGTCAGAGTGCAATGTGGACGGCCATTGCCTCCTCCAACCCGCACGGGATGACACCCCAATCGACGGATCCGAACTGGTCGGAGTCAGATTCGCTGCCCGCCATGCTGGAGAAGGCCGGAGATCGCTGGACGGGAGCTTGGGTGGCGAAGGGGAATGAAGTGGCTAGGGCTCGGTCCTGCGAGCGGATAACGAGGAATATATGTGGAGTCGAGTGGGCCAGCCTGGGCCGAGGACGATGTGGCGGACGCGCCCGGGCGCCCCATATATGCCCCATATTTAGGCTGGATATGAGGGGTGCCAGTCAACCCAGGCGTCTGATGCCCATTTAGGTCGCATTTTTATGACCGGTTAACATCTGCGCGGGCGTTTGAGGCGTCTGCCGTAGATGTTCTGATGTACCATGTGTTGCACAAGTGAACAAGTTAGCTTGTGACAGGTTTCATTTGTATATGCGCATTGTTCTGGACTTGGTCCAGAAGCTTGTATGTCAATTTAACAAGTTTGCAGAGGCTTCCGTTAAGAGTCGATTGTGTCCATGTATAAATAAACCAACATTTGTTGCTAGAGAAAATGATCGGATGAAAATCTGGCATTCGTTGCCTGAAACCTACTCTGTTTTATCTCCTATGTTCTCCCTCGTTTCAGTCACAAGGAGAAGAAGCAGGCTGGCGGCTAACTTATCATACCTTCCACAAACAGTCAAATTAAAAAACTGCAGTTTTGCTAAAGCACATCTAAATGTGCCATAAGTATTGCACATCTAAGTCCTATGCCATTGATCTTACGTTGAGATTTGTGTGAATATTTTCTTTTTCTTTCTAACTTTTTTCTTTCTATTTGATTC